CCTCCTCCGGCGCCGCCTCGGCGTTCGGGTCGTGCGCTTGAAGAACAACACCGGGACGGCACCCCAGGTCACGGGTCCCGTGAAGGTGGCCACGGCCGACTGGCCTGGGTGTAGGTAGCGGCAGTATTTGTGCACGTCGTTGGGCGTGTTGCCGGGCTGCGAGAAGAGCGGGTTGATCGTGAAACGACGGGCGCCGCACTGCACGATGAGCTCCTCCTTCGACTTGACCGACTTTTCATAGTCAGAGCTGAGGTTGATGAGGTAGTTGACGACCGTCTTCTTCTGCTCGTGCCTCAGCAGCGAGACGAGCGTCACGGGCTGGCCGGGCTTGTATGACTTCTCAAACGTGACGGGCACGTTCTTCAGGTGCACTGCCACCCTCGTGCCGGGCGCGACACCGCCCACGAGAGCCTCGCGGGTGAACCGTGAGCGGGAGCCCTGATAGTCGGGGACACGCAGCAGCCTGCGCCAGTCTTCGGGTTCGTGTGCGCGGTCCTCGTCCTCGACCCACTCGCTTGTCCGCAGGCTCTTGAGACCTCTGTACTTGGCTAACCTCTCACGGGCGGCGACACCAGGGTGCAGCTCAATCTCGTCGGGGAACTCCTTGTCGTCCTCCACCTCATCTACCTTTCTGTTTTTCCTGAACGCCGCGAGCTGCTTGGCGTCCTCGTCCTCGTCGAGATCCTGGAACATCTCCGACTGAGGGTACTCTGACGGCGCACCCTCTGTCGGCGGCTTCGGCGCGTAGCCCTCGAGGCCGTCCTCGGGCCCAATCTCCTCCGAGCCAGACGACTCGTCCTCCATGTCATAGTCCTCCATGTCCGAACCCGAGTCGGACACATCCTCTCCGAGATACCAGGCCGACTGGTACTTGGACGTTCCCTTGGGAACCTTCTTGGGCTGCTGTGTGGGATCGAGGGGGTTGTCGTCCGAGAAGTAGTGGTGGTCGTCGAGCAGGACGCCCTTTTTCGCTGTCGTGGCAACGGACATGGCGCCGTCATCCATGTCGTCGTCGTTGTCGTCGCCCTTCATGGCTTCGTCAGGGGCCAGGTCGAGGAGTTCATCCTGGTCCTCGTCGGGCACTTCGAGGATCTCCTCGGCGTGAATGTCCTCGACGGCCATGGCCTCGCCCTTCTTCTTCTTGGCGATGGGCGCCGCCATGATCTTCTCGATCTGGAACACGCCGTGGTCACCCAACTGCACCAGCCGGTTGGCCTTGAGCCCCTTTCCTCGCACGACACCGGTGATGACTGTGGACGCTGTGCCGGAGGAGGCGAACTCAATGTCCTCGGCCAGCAGCCAGCTCCTCTCGTCCCTCCACCTGACGCCCTTGGGTGTGGTGTTGCACAGCGAGCGCATGAGGTTGGAGCACTCCTGGCGGCTGTCGAGACTGTAGAGCTTCTCCTGCTCGGGGTGGAAGTGGGTGATGTAGGACTTGAGGGAGCCCAGGACCTGCGTCTTCTGCTTGGCGGGCTCGATCTTGTCGAGGCCCTGGACGATGGTGTAGAGGGTCGACATGCCCTGGCTCTCGAGACTGCGCAGCATGAGCTCGCCGAGGGGGTCGACCTCGACGCCGGCGCTCAGCATGACGACGACAAAGTCGGCGACGCGCGTGCCGTCGAGGACGGCGTTGAGGTCGCGCTTCAGGGGCACATATTGGAGTTTCTGCTTGAAGCGGTCGACGGAGACGCGGAAGGGGTTCTCCTCCATGTCGGCCTCAATGTCGAGGCTCTCGTTGAGCTGCTTGATGGCAAAGCTGACGTCGCTGTCTTCGCAGAGGGGGACGATGGCGACGACGCGAGGGGCGCCGTCGCGGCCGGCAAAGAGGGACGTCTCCTCGAGGTGCTCCTTTTGCTTCGTGAGGCGGTGCTGCTTGGCCTGGTTGCGTCGGTCGAACTTGGACATGACGTTCTGGTGAGGGGTCTTGCGCTGGCCCTTTTCGGTGCCGGCCACCTTGCCTTTCGAGGACCTTGTTAGCGAAATCGTCGAAGAAATTTGGCGCCCGAAAGACTTGGACAGCATGATCATCCTACATACCCTTGGCGGCGTTGCGCAGCGCACTCTTCGTCGCATGTTTGGACTTGAAGGGCTTGTGGGAGACTTTTGTCGTCGAGCGATGGGAGTGGCTCATGGTGGACATGTTGCCGTCACCTCCGGCCTTGAACCTGAAGGGTAAAGAAGCCACTTTTGGGGATATCGTCTGGGGGGGTTCGAGAGGGGCCAAAAGGTCGAGAGCAAGACGGTGAAGTGAGGTGAAGTTGTGTGGGATGGTGGTGCTGCCGAAGCGGGCAAGGCGGGACACATTACAGCGGGCAGCCAGTGATGAAGTGCCTGAGCCGGGGCATTTTTAGTGGGTGGTTAAGCACACAAACACCCTTCTGGCTTTGGCCGCAGCAGCGGGCCGTCGCAAGTCACAATGGCGGGGTCGTTGCTGGTCGCTCTTCTCAC